GGGATCTCGGGCACCTTGGGGAGCCTCGCGCGCGTCGCCAGGCGGCGGACGAGATTCCGAAGCTGCCAGATCTCCAATCCAGCGTGCCTGCTCTTGTCATTGTGCTCGCCGCCCTTGCCCGTGTTCTTGCCCTTGCCCTCGCGCGAGGCCGCGCTGGATGGCGGGCGGCTCCGCTGCACCAACGGCAGAGCATCAGCCCAGCTGTCGTCCTCCAGCATCGGCACGGGCGATGGATCGGGAGCCGCAGCGCCCCGCACGGCACCCTCCGCCGCCCCGCCCCCGTCGTCGACCACCTCCATGTCGAACGGCGCCATGTCCGCGGCTGCTCCTCGGCCTCGTCCGCGCGGGCGGCGCCGCCGCCGCGGGGCGGCGGGTGGCGCGGCCGCCTCAGCAGGCGGGGCGGGAGCAGGCGGCGGCGCCGCCAGCACGGCCACGGCCGTGCGGAGGAGGCCCTCAGCCGCGCGCAGCAGGCGCACCGCGTCGCGGCCGCCTGCGGGGGCGCGGGCCGCCAGCCCAGCGGCGGCGTGGACCGCGAGGAGCGCGCCGCGCGCGCCCTCGAGCGGTGCCGCGCGGGCAGCCATCGCCGTACCAGGCGTCGGCGCGTCGGCGGCGGGGCCAGCAGCGAGCGCGCGTGAGCCAAAATGGTACTCGGAGGAGGAGGCAGAGGAGGTGGAAGCGGAGGAGGAGGCGGAGGAGGAGGGCGAGGAGGAGGCGGAGGCGGAGGCGGAGGAGGCGGAGGAGGCGGAGGAGGAGGAGGAGGCGGAGGAGGCGGAGGAGGTGGAAAAGGAGGAGGAGGCGGAAGAGGAGGAGGAGGAGGAAGGCGCATCTTGTACTTCCGCCGCCTGCCGCTGGCCTTCCACGGCTTCCGCCGGCGTCCGCCCGCGGAGGCGGGCTCGTTCTTTACATCCGCCGACCCTCCGCCGCCTTCCGCCGAGGGAGAGATGGCAAGTTCTTCGATCCTGGGAGGCGAGCCCCTTTCGCAACGCTCCAGCTGGAGATATAGGCAGTTCCTGTTGTGTTTCGGCTGGTCTATCCCCAACTGGGGTGGCAAAACGGTGGGGGTCTGGATGTGGATGGGGATATGGATGGGGATTGGGATGGGGGTCGACTAAAGGATCCTGGGGTAGGGAGCAAGGCGCGAGATCTGTAGAATTGTGGTTGCGGCCATTGTCCTATACAGTAAGGAGTGCTGAAGAAAGATCGAAGAATAATTCTGAAGATGCGCATGGGGCAAACGGGTCCTGAGGGAAACGGGTCCTGGACCCTGGTGCTTTCCCCCGGGATGAGACTTTCATCCTGAACCGATTCCTGCAAGTCCCAGGGTCCGTGGAAATCTCTGAGAGCCCGAAAACAGCAAAAACCCGCAGGACCCGTTTCCCTCAGGACCTGCTTCCCCCATGGCCAAGAGGTTCCCCAACCTCAATCTGCTGAACGGCCCGGGAGCCAAAGCCCCACCTGAGTCCAAAGTGGTCCCCGTTTCGGTGTCTTGAACCCTTGTGTGTTTGTGTGATCATCCCCCCCCGAAGGACGGGGAGGGCCTGTGGGCGAGGAGGGGACGAACACGAGCACCCGCTGTCGGTGTCACCCCCTCTTCCAGGTCCTGGCCCCTTCTCTCTCTCTCTCTCTCGCTCTCTCTTTCTCCTCTCTCTCTCTCTTGTGGGCCGCCTCTGCCTAGCTCGCTCTCGGTTGCTCTTAGCTTGCCTCGGCGTCGTGCTGATTGAAATCCTTAGCGGGCGTGTGGGTCGCTGAGAACGGTGGGCAAAACGATACGACACGAAATGCAACGGCCTACACGTCTTCCCAAGGCAGCATGCTCACCGCCACGTCTTGCTGACGACAAATGGAAGGGCCTAGAAAACCTGCTGACTGCATCGCGGAACACACATGATACACTGTTTGCCGATGCAGATTCGCGTACGTATTTGCAGCGCGTGGCTCTTACACCCTGGAAATGCACGCTGTGTCATTACCCCGTTCCGTCCAGACGTACCGGCCGCGTTCCAAATCCAAAGGCTCTCTCGTCCAGCGGGGAACATCGGCGCAACACGCGGAACGCAAGCTGAACACGCTTCCTGCGCGCACCCGTCAAAACAGCAATTGCCCACAAGGAGCGAGAGCGGAAGCAGAATGCAAGCTGCAAGCATGCGACGAGGAAGGTCACGCACATCTAACAAGCTATACAGAGTACAGAGTACCAACTGAAGACAAGCTGTATTCAATAACAATGCCAAGCCAAGGGGTAAACTAAAAGAGCAGCAAAATGTCAAGACACGAACAATGGGCAGACTCGACTCCAATGGAAAATACGCTTTCATCATTTTCTGGGCAGGCATACAATTTACAGCGACGGGCAGACCGAAGGAAGGCGCGGAGCAAGCAGCATCAACTACAGATTTGAAATGGCGGCGCGAAGGCACGCAAAACGAAAGCTCAAACAAACTGAAGGCACACCAGACGACACGCGAAGGGCACTTGAACAGAACAAGCAATGGAAGAGCACGCCAAGATCCAAGCTACAAGGTTCCACAGGGATCGGGCGGGGAGGGGCAGCCATGGGCCCTGTGCATAAAAGGAAACGCAGAACCACAGCACACAGAGCATGATCGGAGGAGCTTGATCTGCTGCTGCATGCGCGCAGCTGGAGCACCGGCGTACAAGAGCGATGCTCCCGAAGCCCGCACTGCCACTTTCGACGCTGCAAAATCCAGGGACGTCGGCCGATCACGTGTCCAAGGTACCGCTGGCTCCGGCCCCGCTGCTAGCACCGGCTACACTCAAGAGTGATGCTTCGCAAGAGTGGCCCTGTGCGCACGGTCGGCCGATCGCTGCATGCGGTGCAGCAGTTTTGCGCTTGCGTAGTCGGGGCTGCCGCCCCACTGCCAACCCCCGCGCGTCCCGAAAGCCGTGCCCCAGAGGTCGCTGCTGCTACGGGACACCTTGAGTATAGCCGGTGGAACCTGGCCGGGAATAAAAAACAATCCTAGCGAAAATCTTCTGGTGCTGGAGCGACACACCTAGGGAGCCACGCTCCACGTAAATAACTGACTATTGGTCAGCAGGACAATACCTATAAGGTATTGTTTATCCTTCGCTTTGAAGCAGTGTGACGGTGCGCAGGCTGCAATGAGGGCCAAGCCCACTTGTGGCAACCTGGAACCATGCGTTCTGGAAAACGAATTCAAATGTTATACAACCAACTATTCCGCCCGCCCGCCCCGAACGTGTACCCGCCGGTGCCCTGGGGCACGAGTTAGAGTGTCCTCAGGTCCCGTAGAGGTCTCTGTCCTCAGTCCTCTGAGTGAAAGAATAATGAGCAACCTGTACCCAAACATGCGGGATTTTCTGTGGAGTCTCGCGGCTTGTCGTAGGACCTTTCTGAAGACAAGAAAGCATTAAAACTTGCGCAGAAGGCCCCAAAGGGCCCCGAAGACGGTCAAGAAGGCCACGAGTCGCCGGAAGATCGCTCCAAGACGCCCAAGATGGCCCATAGACGGCGAAAGACGACACCGAGACGCCGAGCACTCCCAAAAGGGCCCCGAGAGGCCAACACTAGTGATCTCTCGTACGGTTTAAAAAAATGTTGCTGCTCTCGACTTCTCAGGATGCCAGCGCTCCAAGACAGCCGAAAAAGCCCTGAGGATCGCCCCAATACGATCCATGAGGCATCCCAGACGGCGCCCAGACTGCCGAAGAGAGCCCCAAGACGGCCCACGAGGCCCCAACGAAAGGGGTCCAAAAGAGGCCCAAGACGGGGGAACACGAACCGACAGTTCGAGCCCTGCGCCCCAAGACGACCTCCAAGACCTCCAGCAGGCCTCATGAAAGCTACCCAAATCAAGACCCCAAGATGCCCCGAAGAGGCCTCGAAACCCCATTCAAGAGGCTCCCGAGAGGCCTGCCAAGAGGTCCCCACAGGCATCCCAGAGGCCTCTGACCTACAACCTAGGCGGAACGGGCCGAAGGCCACCACATACCTGTGCATGAAAACCGTTCCTCTCCGAGTTCGTCCAGTTGGTTCGAACGAACCACCCAGTTCAAGCGTACTGACACAGGGTCACTGGCATTCCACCTGACAGCGGCACTTGAAACCTCGGCTCTTTGATGAGAGGTCGCACCATCGAGCGCACACTACAAAGCTGGCGCAATTCATCCTATCACTCTGGCTCCAGCTTGAGGAAAACATACGCGAGCAAAACATTCGCCGCAACTGATGCCGCTAGGGCGTCAGTTACCACTTCTGCAGAGGCGCCGCAAAGAAGTACCCATTAACATCCGAGCCTGGAACTGGTACCGCAACTGGTGCTGCAAGAACTTCTGTTTCTGTTTTCATAGATCACGTTCGGAACAAAAAAAAGCTGAGGATACCCAGGGGAACGCGAGATGAAGCGTAGAGCAGCAGAGTCGGCACGGAAAGCAAAAAACACATACATTAAAAACATGCTAACCCCATCGGCTCGGACCCCACTTGTGAAGGGGCCCTGGGACACACAAATAAACAGACACAAATCAGAGGATTCCCTCTATTTCCATATTTTTTCAAAGTTTTCGTCTTCCCCCCTTCCATATGTTCCTACTTTTTCGGGGGCATCGACGATGAATCGTCTCTGTGTGTTTTTGCCCCTCCTGAACTTGTGGGGCCTGTGCGTCCAGGGACCGAGGCTCGGGCCGGGCGAAAGGCGGGGATAGCAAAGGGGGGGGTTGAGAATCGGCTCACGTAGCTGATTTTCCCGGCGCCTCCCAGCGCTTGGAGGCGGCCATGCATCGTGGAATGGGACCCTCGTTGGGGCCGAAACCATCTGCATGCAGCAGATTTCGTACCCCCCCCTTTCCCAGTCCCCCCCTCTCGTCCGGCCCGAGTCCGGGGGCCGGGCCGAGGCCGGGAGGGCACCCCGTGCAGCTCGCTCTGCGGCCGCGGGCCTGGCAGAGAAAGGGGCCTCCCCCCGCCGCGCGGGGCGCCGGCTCGCTGCGGAGGCCTCGGGGGGGGCGCCTCCCGAGGCCGCCTAGGCGCTCGGGGCCTGCGCGGCGCCGGCCGGCTCAGGTCCCAGCCTGCCGGCGGGTGCTGCTCTCGGCTTGCGCTGCTGTGCTCGCTCTCAGGAGGAGGAGGAGGAGGAGGAGGACGAGGAGGAGGAGGAGGAGGAGGGAGGAGGAAGGGGAGGGGGAGGAGGGGAGGAGGGGAGGAGGAGGAGGAAGGAGGAGGGGAGGGGGAGGAGGAGGAGGGAGGAGGAGGAGGAGGAGGAGGAGGAGGAGGAGGAGGAGGAGGAGGAGGAGGAGGAGGAGGAGGGAGGAGGAGGAGGAGGAGGGAGAGAGGGAGGAGAGCCCCGAAGCTTGTTGTCAGTCTCTCTCTCTCTCTCTCTCTGCGCCCCGCTGGCGCAGCACAGCAGGTCGGGCCTGCGGCGAGGCGCGTCCGCTCGCTCTCTCTCTCTGTCTCTCTCTCTCTCTCTCTCTCTTATTCTCTCTCTCTCTCTCTCTCCCTCTCTCGCCCCCTCTCTCTCTCGCTTTCTGTCTCTGCCTCTCTCTCTATCTCTCGCCCTCTCTCTCTATCTCTCTCTTTCTGTCCCTCCCTCTCTCTCTCTCCCTCTCTCTCTCTCTCTTTTTCCCTCTCTCCTTCTCTCTCTCTCTGTGTCTCTGCCTCTCTCTCTCTCTTTCTATCTCACTTTTTCCGTCTCACCCGGATCCACACAGCCATATCGCTGCTCAGCTGCGACAGCGTATAGTGATGTGAGCTGCCTGTCCTGCGCCCTATACTGCAGCGGGCCGCGCAGCGGGCCTCTCTCACTCTCCCTCTCTGCATCTCTCTTTCTCTGTCTCGCTCTGTCTCTCCCCCCCTCTCTCTATCCCCTTCTCTATGGCAAGTGATCGCCGACAGACGGGGATACGATCTCAGCATCACCGGGTGCGAACAGTAGGACCGCTGGGAGCCAAGTGCGGCGTGAACAATGGTGCTCCTACGTTCCTGCTGCAAGGCGTGTGCGATGGAGCTGCGTGGCAAGTGCAGAACACCTCATGTGCTGCCCTGAGAGGCGCGCGGCTATACAACGGGGTGGAGGCAGATTGAGAGGTTCGAATCAGACGTGTTTCGCACATTGCCCACGTGCATCGGAGGCGGCTAGGAAGGAGGAGCAAGGGATGCAGAGCATACTGAAGGGGGGGCGATTAGAAAGAAGAGGAAATCGCTTTCACAAAATCTGTTCACCCACTGTCCGTCATGCGCCTCTCCGCGGATGTTCGACTATTCACTCTGGCCGTGGCCACACTTGCTTCGAACATGTCGGCACCGATCGCGCACTGAAATAATGCAATTCCGTATGCACTCCTCTGAGCGCCTGTGCAGACCAATAACAGGAGTAAGAAACAGGGGCAGAGAGAGATAGATAGAGAGAGACAGAGAGAGAGAGAGAGAGAGAGAGAGAAAGAGAGGCAGAGCCGTAGAGAACGAGAGAGAGAGAGAGAGAGAACGAGAGAGGAAGAGAGAGAGAGAGAGAGAGAGCGACAGAAAAGGAGAGAGAGAGAGAACGAGAGACAAAGAGAGAGCAACGAAAACGTGCTGATGATTGGCCACCCCCTCCGCCCGCGGACACCAGTGGGCCAGGCCCGATGCCGAGCCGCTCCTGGAGCTGGCTGGGGCTGAGGGGCCTCCGTGCCCCATCCAGCGGGCGGAAAAGGAGAGACGGAGAGGGACGCAGGGAGGGAGGAGAAGGGGAGGGTTGGAGGAGGAGGAAGCAAGAGGAGAAACGACCAGAGGGATAATAAAGAAAATAAGAAGAATCATAAGCATCGGCAACCGTGGTACTCATGTGTACCGCAGTGGTCGCGCGCGTCGTCGCCATCTTCATCGGCGTCATCACCATCATTGCGATCATCATCTCGTGCTGGGATGGCTGATTTCATGGACATGCTCGTCTGCACGACTTCGAGATCCATCAGGCTGGGCTTCCAGAAGCCCTGTGAATGCCCTGGAGGTTCCAGGGGCTTCCTGCTTCCTGAGCCCCGAAAGGCCTACCTGGAGTTCCCCTGGTGCCAGCGTTGGCCGCCGTCAAATTCCCGGCGGCCTCCGACGTCCACGAACGCCTCTGGGCGTCACCTGAAATACCGCAAGGGCCGGACCACAAGAAACCCCCAGCAAAAAACCCGATCCTGAGACCCCAGGACGTCCATTGACTTTTGTTATGGATACGTGGTGTTTTCCGTAATAAAACCCTCGAAACCCAAGCAACCCAAGGAACACCCTGCGCCTCCACTGTACCGCGGTCGCCTCTGAGCATCGTCGGCGGCCGTCGGAAGCCCTTGGAATGCGTCGGAGCACCTGGGGGGCCGTGGAAGCCTCCTTGGTGGAGCTTCGGGCACCCCCGGCAGTCCCACGAAACCCCTGGAGACCCCTCGAGGCCACATGAGGCGTTCCAGAAAAGGCCTGGCCTTCGAGGATCAAGGACTTGTCACTCGTAACCAAGGGGCGCTCGAGAGGTCCGAAGGCCTACGCGGGCACAGAATATGTATGTAGGAGCATCGCCCTGCCAACCTTCGCACTGCCAAGGGCGGTGCTCGGAAACGTCCAGGCTGCCAGGCGAAGCCGAGACTGTATATTGTACGTGTGGAAGGCTATGATCACGAGCTCCAGCGCCAGACGATGGGCCGTCGTCGAGGCACCCACGCGTAAGCCAAATGTCTCGCACAGGCACTCTGGAGCAGGAATGCGCACGTGTCATGCCATGCAGACAGCGTGCCACATGTGGGAAAACACCGCATAGTGAGGCATGGCGCCCCTCGCGTGCGGATCTTCCAGCCGCGAGCAGCCGAAACACGCACGTCCGTTCACCCGTGGAGCGGTGCAGACGGCGGGAAGTAGTCCACCCGCCCGCCCAGGTCTTCAGGAGGGCCGACTGTCCCGCGGGGGGAAAAGATTCCAAAAGCCCCAGGACGGCGTCCCACTCAACGGGACCTTGCGGAGGCACAGCCCCAGGAAGTCCCCAAGACTGCAGGCGAGAAAGGAAGTTAGAGGCGAGGGGGGACACAAGGAGCGATGAGACAAGGAGAGGACGAATGAGGCGCTGCAGACGGGGGCGTGGGGCGCAGTCTACGGGGGCAGTTTTCGCGGCACGCTACTCACGGAGGGCATCCACACATGCGGAGAAGACCTCGTCGCCCCGCTCCACGAAGCCGTAGGCCGCCTCCTTGAGGTTCTTGGCAATGGGCTGCTCAAGCCAGTGCGACGGCGCCCTGTTGCCTCTGTGCAGGTCAGGTAGTGGTTGAAGGTCGAGTCCTCATCCATTGTCTTCGATGGCCCCCTCAGCCACAAGTCCCAGTTCTGAACCGTTCCCTTCGAGCTCCTGATAAGGAGCGAGAAGTTCGCCAGCTCTATCGACGTCGCCTTCAGGGCCCTTGACCACTTGCCAATCCCCAGCAAGTCCGCGCGACAAAACGGGAAGGCACGTGCCAGATACGATGCGCCAGCCGCGACTCCTGCCGGCGAAGGTGTTGCGGCCAGTAAAGCAGCTGACTCAAGTAGGAGGCCTTCGTAACCGCACGTTGGTTGCACGGCATGAGGCTGATGCTGGTCGGCGCGCCGAGGTCCGCCATCGCGTTGGCTGCCGCCTTCCAGCCCCCCACCACCTTCTGCCAACATAAGTCATTTGTCACCGCAGGACCAAACAACGCGCACAAGTACTCGGCCGTCGGAACGATCTGCATGTCGCACCAGCGCGGGACCAGCAGTTTCATCTTGTGTTTGATTCTGTCAGCCAGCTTCAGGGAGAAGTCCTCCGCCAGAGGTGCGATCTTGCACTTCGCCGTCTTGAGAAACAGGCGGGCCTGTTGCTCCGTCGCGTGGAACGCGCTGCCCTAGGGCCTCATCATCTGCATGGGTGGTGCGACCGATCCAACATCGCCCGTGCACCATCCGATGACCGCTTGCTTGTAGTGGCGCGTGCGGTCGAGCATGTCGCGGATCAGCGGGTCCATGCCGACTGCCCATAACGTTCCAGACCACGGGCAGCCCTGCAACATCCCCGAAGCCAGCCAGGAGGAGATCTGGAGATTGCCGCCCAGGTTGGTCCAGGCGAGCGGGGGTAGGTAGATGGCGTCGGCCACGTTGAGGATAGGTGGCGGGAAGCCGCCGAGGCTGGGGGCCGCCCGCGGGAAGGCGCGGCACATGGACGGGAAGGCGTCGCCGAAGTCGGACATGATCATCAGCGGGTGGCGCTCCTGAACCTCCGGCTTCACCGCAACGACGCGCGACTGCGCGTCCATCATCACCGCGTGCTCGATGAAGCGCCGCTGCGGGAGGAAGCCATTCTGCGCGCGGCGCGCATGCTTGGCAACGATCGGCTGCGTCAGAAAGTTGCCCATGGCCGCGACGATCTTGCAGTCTGTGTTCTTGAGTGAGAAGGGTGGCGTCGCCTTCGCCAGCCTGGGCGCGGTCTGGCTACCCTCGGGCTCAGAGCCATTCGGCGCGAATACCAGGAGCGACTCGTTGAAGTCAAGGGGGACTGGGACACCCTGCATGATCTCGATCGTGACGTTCAGCAGGATGTCCGATGCCATGGGCGCCCGCTTCCACGCCATGCAGGGGGGGCCGTCAGGTCCAGGGGCAGAGTTGCACAGGCTGGAGAGGAGGCGGCGCATCTCGCCGATCGTGGGGATGTCCATGTCCGAGCAGCCAAACGGGGCGACGTGCTTCGCCAGGTATCGCATGACATGCCTGGTGCGGCTCAGTTTGGACTGGAAGACAGGCGCCAACTGCTTCTGAAGCTCCGCAATCATTCCGTCGGGGCTAGTCGTCCGGGAATGATCGTGTAAGACCTCGGTTGCCATGAACTTCAGCACCTTGCCAATGGGGGGCCCCCAGCTTGCCGCGCCGTGTGGTCGCCCGCTGCATCTTGCGGAGGCACTGTCGTTCCCGTGCAGGGGTGTTGGCTGACTGCTCCAGCGCGTGGATCGCCTCCAGGCGCTGCTCCTGGGACTGGCGCTGGAGCTCCTCTGACTGTCTGCGGAAGGCGATCGGGTCCTTAAGGGCGATGTTGTTCGCATCCGAAATGTCCAGGTGTTCGGCCCCCAACGACGTGCGAGCATGGAGCGCGCGCGCCGCCTTCAAGCCATTCCCCCAGACACCCCTGAAGATCGATCGGCATGTTGTGAGCGCCGCCGCAGATCAGGGGGCTCTTGAGTTGGTGAGGTCGTTGCGCGCGAGGCGAGCAGCTTCGCGCTGCGGGCGCTTGAACTCGCTCAGCTGCGCCAAAGGGGCATATTCGCGCCACGAAGAGACTTCCGTCAGGGGGGCCAAGATAGCGTTCGAATAGCGGGCTCTCAAATATGTGCTCCAGGATCGGCTGGCTCTGGCCATCGGTCTCAGGGTTGCGCCCATCAAAGCGGAGGTGGACAGGCGCATGGTCCGAAATGCCACGGTCGTAGGGCTCCTCGGGCGCGAGCGGGGCGTCAGCTCGAGCACGCCACTGCAGCAGCATCCGCGGCGGCGTGCTGCTGTAGATCCTGTCGATGCGCGCGCGCTGCTGCGACTGCTCGGCGTAGTGGGCGGTGGCCTCAGGGTCGATCTCCGCCATCTCCTGCAGCGCTGGCCCCCGTGCCAGCTGGTGCTCAGGATTGCGCCGACGGAGACGCGGGAGTCCTTCATTGATCAATGGCGTCTGCATCTCCAACGGGGCCTCGTCCATAGAGCTGAAATCGCCCATGACAGTGACCGTGATCCGCTCGGGCTGCGCTTCAACTGTTAGGACTTCAGCACGGAGGGGGCGCGCGACCCTCTCGACCCGTTGCTCGGCGAGCCTGGAGTTGTGGGCATTGTAGACGACGGCCATGTTCGGGAGGGCGTCATCAGGGGCCATGCTAGTCTTGATAAGTAATCGCAGCACCCTGCCAGGGACGATCTCGGCGCGCGCGAAGCGCGCGGGGTCGTCGGCCGTGGGCTGGGGCAGGGGGGGCGCAATGATGGCAACTCTACCAGTGCCACGCTCAGGGATCGACGAAAAAACCGCCGCCTCGATATGAGCCAGGTGCACAGCGTGGAGGAATTCGGCATGCGAGCCGTGGACTTCCTGGAGGGCCAGCAGCGACGAGGAGCGCAGCACCTCGCTGATGCATTGGCGCTTGCGTTTGCGCTGCTGCACGTCATTGCAAAGACGAGCGCGAGCATTCCAAGTCGAGAACGTGATGCTGCGGGGGGGCGAGGCGCCCGCCAAGGCGCCAAGGCACGGCTAAATCCGCCACTGAAGCCCCCGTTCCTCCAACGGGGTCTGGAAGATCTCCTCGAACCGCTTCTTGATGGCCTCTCTCTCGATGTGGTGCGTGCAGCAGCCGTCGCAGTTGAATAGCAGACGCGAGGGGGTCCCTCGGGTAGCAACCACTACCACTGAGACAAGTGGTATGTTGTTGCAATGTCTGATGCCCTGTTCTCGGTCTGCCCGCCAGCGCTTATCCGGAGCGAGCTCGCGACCGAACTGAGCCAGCTTCTTGGACTGGAGTTCTCGCCTTGCCGACTTCGCTGAGCGGTCCAGACCCAGGTAGAGCCGTGAGGCATGGCCGTGGACGTTGGTGACCTCGGTGTTGATCCAGGAGCCGTCTGCTTCCTTGCGCTTGGCGTAGAACGCGCGGACCTTCCTAGCAGAGGCGTTGGCGTCTCCCGA